GCTCAGAGAACACAACAATACTTAAAAGAAATGTGTCTAGTTTCAAAGTAATAAAAGTATTAAATAAAATATTATTGTGATAATTATACACTAATCAACACAAGCTAATCGTTAACTTGGGAAAATACCTTAACTAGGCACTTTAATGATAGAATTTCTTATTTAAGCCATCATAGTGCGACAATCATTCAATTTTCTTGATAGTATGTAACATCTACTACGAATGTAAACCAGAACTTCAAGGGTAAAGAAATTCAATGGTTTTCATAATCTATAAGTGTCGATTACTAATTTCCGATAGCACTGAACCAACACTAAGATTAGTCTGTAATGAAAAAAGCCTACAAATTAAACCAGTAACCTAACAAAATCTTTTCAGCTAAATGAAGCAAAGTTATTTGATTCATAAGGATATTAAAACGCACACATAAACAACAAATGAATAATGAATTCAGAAGATGAAAACAAAGCACTACTTAATTATTACAAGTGAGTGAGAAAACGAAACATACGTAATGAATTATGTACAAATTATTTAATCATAGTGGGAATAACAATTACCAATCAAACTTGATCAAATTTTACTTAGAACTGATAACTATTGGGACTAATAAAACATTGATGACAATATTCATTACAGGAATAATAATAATAATAATAATAATAATAGTGTTACAAGACAACAGAAAACTATAATCTGATCACACCCATATGGGAATGAGTGGAAAATCTCTTTTTGGTCAGTTGAGTAAGGTAAAAAAACAAGTTACTAAAAACTTACGCAGATAGGTAACGTTAAATAAGTATAATTATAAACAATATTGTCACCTCCCCTGTAATAATCTAACTTCTATCTTTGAACGCGAATGGGGATTGATCATAATAAGAGTATCTTCTGAATCTTAAATTTGTTGGATTGAGCGACATTGATTGTAGCCTACAAAGGGTACAGTATTAGGGGTAATATCACTGATGCACTACGTCGGAGAAATTGAATTTCCAAATACTCTCCATAAGACTCAAAATATATCTGGAGTTGTTAACTGATACTTTATCTAATTCACAGACCATTAAGCGGCATTTTACTTCTGATCCTTTACAAAAGGCCCAATTGTCACAGTAAATGTTTAAATTAAGCTCCTATTTGATGACTCAAGTTGTGAGTTATGTCCATTAAATTTCGCAACCTTTATTTAGACCTCGTAAATTTTTCCGCTCTAAACTAAGTTTACAAAGATTATAGGTAAACTTTAATATCTTTTGAAAACGGTGTTGTATATCCTCAAAACTAAACGGTTTAATTGTCAACTTTCCTTGTAGAAGTGAGAATTTTAGTTATTCCACTAGTATTATATCAGTTCGTTCAACATTTTAAGATTGATATTTTAGTCATTAAAGTACTAATCTACGGATAGTTCTACTAAATATTTTTTTATACGAATACTTATTAATATTAGAACGAACAGTTTGATAAAAATTAGTTACCGAGTATTTTTTTTTTAAAAAATATAAATACGAAGGTCATGGTAATGGACTCTTACAACACATATTCACTGAACAAATGAAATGTTATTATTATTATACACAATTCTAATATAAAACATACAAAACACAACATTGCATTGTTGTATAACAGAATGTATAATTAAATAGTAGTTGACAAAACAATTATTGAATTGATCAGTTAGTTATGTAATTTTATCAAACATACATGGTTACTTTCTTATTGTGTTTTCATTCAAAAAATTAAAAAAAATTTAGTTACATACTTAACCGTTCATAATACAACGAGGCTGGAGATTTAAATATTAAAAAAATTAATTTTATATGTTCAAAATGTATCACATTTAATCTCATATAGAATTCTTTCGTATTAGATTATGGAATATATGAAATTGATTATTAATCTTGTAATAGTTGAATACATAATTCTGATTATAGGCGGAGATAATAAATGGCTAACAGTGGAATCCAGGACGTGAGTTTTGTCCTATTTAGGACTTGATAACTGGATGTACCTGCAGATAGTGGTTATACAGACTCAGTAGACAGGTGGATAACTCGATGACGCTGGAAGCGCACGGTACTAGGTTCGAATCCTGGTATGCAGATACATCCGACCGATGAGTCCTGAATAGGAGGAAACACGAGTCCTGGATTTCACTTGTAGTCATCATACATCTGCTTATAATGCTTGTGACTTAAGGCAATATCGAGGCAATCAGCACGGGATGTATATATGCAAATGATAAACTGACCAATTTCAGTTCTACACGTCAGTGGGAAGAATTAAATTACCAATACACGAAGAAAAAATTGGTTTGCAGTTATTGAGTTCTAAGTTCTACCCATTTTAGTTTGGATAGAGGGCTAGTATTTGGAAAACATGCTCTCACGGTGTTAAATACCCATTTACCTGGTTTCAAGCCACACTCTAGGTACTCGAGCTAGTGATACTATCCCGCTGATCCAACTAAATCTAGGATTTAGTGGCTGAAAGTAGGACACCTAGAAACCGTTGAGCCACCATTCGAGAACAGAGCTCGTAGTGTTAGCTTTCAGATTATTGATTTACGACACGCACCTTATGTGTGATGTTTACATGTTGTTGTTGGTTCATGAGATTTTACCTCCAGTTTTAAACTTTTTTTTAATGATATGGCCTATCTTTGTAAGGATAAGTGATCCTTACATAACTATATATATTACTTCGAAAAGTGGAAATTATGCTTTTCGATGTCAGAAAACTGACGTGAATCAAGTACATATTTCGTTTAACAGCTAACGAAAATGGGATTTCGGCCTCTAACGCAAGGATTAAAAGTTAAGATTAAGCCACTTCTTTGAGATTATCTTTTGAAGAAGAGTGTGTCTGAGAAATCTACTAATTTTTTGAAGGTCCTATATACAAATACCTCAGGTAGAGTGACGGCATATAATCGCCTCTCCTTATTTCTCCATTCAAGTGATGAGGTTAAACAGGGTTGTCAAATTCCACCATTCATCTGCAACTTTTAACCACGAAGACATTCTAGAAAGGCTCCTGATAAAAGTAGGTGAGGGTTGTGTGGACCAGCTCGCTGGAGAAAGCCTTTTTAACCTTGAGTATGCAAATATTGTTTTACTGTATAATTATACTCAATTTGTCTAATTCACACTTAATCAGCTAACAATCAATGCCAGTAAGTATGGCATGTACTTAGCACCTCCTAAAAAAATACATATACATGACTAGCAAGACCTTGTGCCTGAGCTCACTCTTGATGATGAGCCATTAGAAGTAGCCGGAAGTGTGAGTATTTATGGTGGCGTGAGTGGCAAGATCACTTTATGTATGGTGAAGATCGGAGGTGTTTAAAGAAATTTGTTACCTTTGGCGCTAACGTGGTATTAGTTTTTTTGAGAAAGATCGGGTTAACAATGCCTTGACGAGAAAGGTTTTGGTCTATGCTTGTGAAACATATTCTCTCCAAGTTGAGAATGTTCGGAAACTCTCTGTAGTTAATCATCGTTATCTCCGAAAGATTGCTGACGTTCGATTTCAAGATCATGTTAGTAGTGCAGAGATTCGGTAAAGTGTGTCCGGGGACAGTGATAATAATTGGTATCGATGGCGATCGTATTGTAATTTTCTTTTACTTCATAAAAATGTGACAATCCGCACAGCCCACACTGACCAAATTTCAGTCAAAAATATCAAGAACGTTATCATTCAAATGATTTTAAATTGAGATAAACAGGTCACACTAAAATCTATCTTTAAGGCCTAATTGATCTACCATATATACATAAATGGATAACAATGTCTATATTTCACTGAGTAATGTTGGTCCACTTTGAAGGTAAGTTTCTTAACGTTCTAACATGGAGACATGTCAAATTTAACCAAGCTGAAAACATTTCATTGTATGATAATCGCGTAAACGAAAACCCACAAAATATTTACACAAAGAACTGCTGAGAAATCTCAACCAATTATTTAGTTAGAATAATGAACTAAGACATGATATTATCAGAAATATATGATCACATATAAACTTGTTAAGAACATTTATATACTAAAAATTAAAGGTCAACTAGACGAATAGATGATAAGAGGAAACATGGTTAATAGAGAAAATAATGTTGAAAACAATGTGAAACACCAGGTTGAATAATAAAACTATAATATCAAGGTAGGTTCAGGGTGAGAACAAACTGTTTTTGAATGCATAAGTAGGTTTTGACTTTTCATATGACCAAGGCTTCAATAAACCTTAGTAAATGCCCTGAACAATTTTGTACAAAATCAAAAAGACTGAGTTATGATAAACCTTATGACTTATTTCTACTATGTTCAACAATAGAGGAAGATGAATGTTTATTATCTGCTCTTATTGCATTCACTGATTATTTGTTCCTGAAACCACTTTGGCATGTGTTCAGGCGCTCTAACTTACGGATCACGATCAATCCCCCTTATGTATGTGCGGCCACAGACAAACAAATAGGAACCGATAAACACAGTAGGATGTGACGCAATCATTTACATGCCATTTACATCTTCGCTGAAGCATGAACCTTGCTTTTTTTTAACAAAAATTATCTTTGAGCAGATAAATTATATTTATGATGTTACGTGACTTAATGTAACACAATACATTTACTTACAACTGAATTAAGCCTTCGTTTCAGCACAAGCCCATTTGACTAACTTCTGAATGGTAGGGTAATGTAGACAGGAATTTTTGATGTCAGAAGTGTAATAGGTCTCACTAGTGTTTTTCCACTGAACTGATAACAATCGATAACAAAAAGTGTCATTATAATTAAAACGAAGCATGAACGAAAGTATCCATACAGAAACTGATGAACAGATAACTCTTTTAGCCTAGTTTAATACACCACAGTAATGAGCACAAGCCAACTTCGCCATAGATGTCCAGTTAGTAGAGTTTTATATCTACAAACCGCCTATTTCAACAACACATTATTAACAAAACAAAACAGAAGAAGCTTACCTTAAATATTTTGTCCAGTTTTACGAACACTGAACAAAGACATTCGGAATGTTTGCTAAATGCTTCAGTATTATTGGTACTAATAAATTTGCCTTGAATAAAAACCAAGAATAATTAACATAAAAGCACTTTCAAATAGAAATGCAACTTTTCAATAATCCTATTCCTGAGAAACAATTTAGGGTTATAATAAGTGATAACTTTTATCGATGATGACTTTCATCTGAAAAGCCAAAATAAATCAAGAACACTGTTTCAGCCTAATTTGATGCTCTTCGGAAGTGCTACTGATGAGAGGCTTGTTTCCCAGGTTGAACGATGGGAACGATTCTGTTACATGTATGGTATCACACTCACTAGCTATATACCCAGCACAATGTTTTATCTTTAATATGTTAAACTAATTCGGATCGAGGACACGTTATCGGACATCCTAAAACATACACTACAACGATAATTAACAAGTTTACGAAACTATATACGGGAATACGCACAAATGTCTATCCATGTTCATTAGTCAGTTACAGCTTACTATGACTGAACACAAATCAACTGAGTTAAACTAGATTGAGTCTGCAACACATTAGCCTAGCTTTCTAGTAGCTCTCAAGTGAGGTAATCAATGGTTTATTAGATAAGGTCAGTCTGTGAATGGTTATTAGAAAATTTTTCAAGGACCAGATTTCCAGGCGAAACGTTGCATTTACTTCAAATTCTTTCGCTGATATTTTACAAATACATCCTCCCTCTTTAATATCCCACATCAACTTGGCGCCCAAATACTGTGAAACCATGCGATCAAATTTAGACGAAAGTTCCTAAATATCTCTATTGTTATGAGCTTTCATAATTAGAGACAATAATTTAAAAACATTGAATTTCATATAGGAATCAAATAGACAAAAGAATGAGTTTTCAAATATCAAAAAAACTATATGGATGAAATCAATTCATGGCTTGTTTAATTGATAGGGGTGTATTCATAGAATAACAGACAACTCAAGTGTCTATAACTTCTAAAGACCATTGTTTGTAATCAAATGTTTGGTAATTTGTGAGTTTTATTAGATATACGATACAATTTTCATTATTATTTTCAGTATTACGAATAATTAGGTTGTTGTAAAATTACATATGAAATCATCTTTCATAGTTGATTGTAACATATTACTCGTATTGAAAATAAACGAAGCTATACAAAATAAAACTAATTTCAAATTAACCTGACCAACCTTGATGAGGATAGATATTTCATTATGCTTAACTGAAATTTTGACCTTATTGTAAACATTGCAGTTCAGTAGGCTAGTGAATTCAGTTCAATAATTTCTAGTCTTTAAAATATATATATTTATGTGTGGGCTGTGATACTGCCCGGGTGCCCAGACCGAAGCAGGTGGTTTTCTTAGGAGACCACACCCCGAGCCTTTGACCTCAAGGTCTGACCCACAAGGCAGTGGGGTATCGTGAGGAGATGCAGTCCCATGGTAGCCGGGGACCAAGAAATTGGTTCATACGCCATTTGTTCCTTCAGGATGCTAGAGCCCATGTGCACCATTGTTTTGGGATCCGGTTAAAGCGCCGGACATTCACTTTTCGTCCTCTCATTTTCGTAAACAACACCCTCGCCACGAGAAGACAGTGAGTAGGACTTCCCTGGCACAGGCTGTATACATGTGGCCGTGTAAGAACATTTCGACAGGGAGGGCGGGCCCGCCCCACTCTCAGCCATACCAGGGCTTCCGGAGGCAGAGAGGTGGCCAGTGTATGATATGGTGTCGTGGCATGAAAGAAAGCTGTAAAGGGATGGCTTGTGTTGTTCCTTCACGACTCCCTGGCTGGGGTCCGAGAGCTGGAGCAACACAGTGGCTAGATACGTCATCAGATATGGCTCAGAATAGAAACCAGTGGCGATCCTGCTGTAACCTTCTTTTACTTTCTCTATAAAAAGATGGTTGTTTCTTCCTTAACTGAAAGATTTCTTCCGATTGTACCTTTCCGTTTCCCCCATTATTACTATTATTATCATTACACTATCTTACACTAAACTGTCCGTTATTGTTCTTTTTTTCTCTTCGAATTCTCATTGTTTTGTGTGGCGCATATATATTTGGTACCCTCTTGTACCAATATTTATGTGTTCAAATAAATAAATAAGCCTTTAAAATAAAGCGTACTTTTAGCTGTTTAACATTTGTCAAATAAACAATCTAACTAATTTAAAAACAATTTCTTTATCTTACGGACTAGTATCTTAAGTTGAGTTAAATAATTTCAAGTATAAGAAAAGCATATGACGAAGTCATTTGTACAGTAAGAATTGTAAAGAGTTATAATTTTGAGGTGAAAACAATTGTTATTTAGTCAGTTAGTCGCATATTCTAAACTTCACTTACCTATGGTTTATTACAGTCGGTATTAGTACTAGTCCTTACGGCAAGACTTATAACTTAAAATGGAGTATATCAATCAATATACTTGATTAATGGTATGCACATTGACATTTTGTAGACTTTGATATCGCACCCAAATGCCTTGGTACGGCTGAGAGTGGGGAGAGTCAGCCCTATCTCTCTCTCGGAATGCTGCCACATGGTCGCTGCCGGGAAAGTCCTACTCATCGCCTTCTAGCAACATTACTGTCGTTTACTAAATTAAGAGGATGAGAAGTGAATGTCTGGTGCTTTAACCGGGTTAGTGGATATGGAGAATCCACCTAGGGGAGTTGGGAAACCCTAATTCCAAACCAATGGTGCACATGGGCTCCAGTATCCTGAAGGAACAAATGGCGTATGAACCAATGGTTGGTCACAGACTACCATGGGAATACATCTCCTCACGTTGCTCCACTGCCTTGTGGATCAAACCTGCAGGTCAAAGGCTCCGTGTGTGGCCCCCCCCAAAGAGAACTACCTGCTTCGGTTTGGGCACCCAGATAGTATCCTAGCACTCACACAGACCGAATGATTCATATGACACACATCTATTTGGTGCCTCCTTGTACCAGTGTTTATGTGTTTAAATAAATAAATAAACAAGACTTTCACATTGAACAATATGGTTTTTTACGAAAAGTTTGAACTCGTCTTCATATTGTGAATAAGGATCAAACATTATAATGCATCAGTAGGAATGTGAAAAAAAACAACAACAATCGTGCACAACAGAAGTAATTACATAAATGTATAAGTTATTATTTATACTTACTTATATAATTATTCTCATCATTTCTCATTAAATTTAAATTGTGATGCACATAATTAACATTATAAGATGTAATTAAATTACAAGGTATATATTTTAGATGAATATCTTTGAGTAATACAACACATTGATAACATGTTAGATGATCTAATAAATTGTTGAATACTCTTTGTTTATGATTAGCTTGAATAACTATCATCTAAATGAAATAAACAAATAAAATGAACAATGATTTAAAATTGTGTGAGTTAAGAAAGAAGGAGGAGAAGAGAAAAAAACGATTATTAAAATGATCTAACATTATCCAAAATATAGGTAAAGTAATGACTAATTGAATGAATGAATGAAACGGACTAACAAATATAGGTATCATTGTCTAATACTACCGTCTTAGAACAGGGTCTAGGTTTACGCGAATATGTTTCGAGCATACTTTGATTCTTTGTATGATTTCGAACAAAGAAGAATGGTTTGTTGTTTTAATTTAGTTATATACTAATGAAAATATTAACGTTAACTAAGGTGAATAGCACCAGTCCATTTATTAAGTTGATGCTAAATTTTGAATTAAAAAAGTAAATTAGATGAAATTTACAAAAAACTATCAAAATGAATCACTCATTTGTACCGGTTATTTGAATTTTTCACTAGTGTTTAGGACTGTAATTCATCAGTCACTTCTGGTATATGTGAATCTTCTGCGAATTACCACAAGTCACATGTATTACAAACACAGTTGGATGGTGGATAGCTGTGGAATCAAGGAGAGATGTTTTGTTCTATTTGGGTCTTATCATATGGGTGTATCTGAACCACATCAAGACGATTAATTCAACAGTGAATAGTTTTGAAGGAAAAGGTTGGTAGGACTATAGTTTATAGGTAACCTTTGAGCGACGCTAAAGTGACCTTGGGAATTTCCACCCATTTACACGGGGTAAATGAGGGTTATGAATCAGTGTGAGGAATTAGAATTATGATTTACAGTTGATGGTTAGGGTTAGGAGATATGTTTATGGTTTTCATCAAGAACTAGCATGAGCTAAAATGCCAAAATATTATTTAGTCAAATGGATGAATGTATTTCGTGCCAAATCCAAGACTTGTATTCCTAAATCTGATTGATTCGTCCATATATTCAGTTCACACCAAAACGCCTTTACAAAAGTTGTAATTTTAAAGATCTTATTATTTGATTGTAGGTATGCCTGAGGACAAGTTTCATCTACTATAAAACATAGTTTAAGAAGGAATTCCTTCCGAATACCTCCAGCAATCTAACACTAAAATATAATGCACGGGATGTCGAGTCATTTAAACTAATGGCCATATTGTAACATGATATACAGAATCCGATTGGCATTTAAAAAAACTAGAAAAAAAGGACACTGTTTACTACTCAGTTATCAATCATTATTTATACTCCAATCTACTGTAGACCCTGAGTATGAAGTGATTGGAAATGATCAAGAGACTTAATATCCTTTCTTTTTTATTTGATGTTATAATCTGACGATGTTTAATTAGAAACGACTGATCGATCGAGAAAATCAGGTAATGACCTCCAACAATTATAATTCAGCTGACTTGTTTAAGAAACGCGGAGTGTAAAACTGGATGATTTCAGCTAGTTGTAGATTAAGAACAGTACGTCCACAAGTGATTACTGAGTTTTATTGGCCATTTAATTGACTGGTAATAAAAACTTTACTTATTAATTCATTGAAATATATTTCGGTGGATAATCTGAATATGAGTAATTTGGACCGTGACGATTTCAATAAAACTCAACAATCTCCACAAGCCTATACTGAAAAGTATCATGTGCTTCTAGAGGAAATTACCGGAATCCTATTGAGAAGGTGTGACCAGTGAAGTTCAACCGTGTCGGGTGTGAGGAAGTTACCTACCGAAGACGATGGAAGAAGGTCACGCAAAATCATGGATTGGCTGAATTTAGACACTAACAATGTTGGATTTAAATCCTGAGTATGAGATCGTGTATAGGCACTCCTGAGGAATTCAACATTTGAACGAAACAGTTGTCCAGTGCTTCCATGTTTTGAATAGTGGTCTAAAATCGGTCGGTTCATCACTTCAATGAAACTCAACAATCTTCTCAATCCTATATTGACAAATCAGGAATTGAAACACATATAGCTAGCTATAGATTCTTGAAATGTTTACTGAGCAAATAAGTTAAGCCAAGTTGTGTAGGATGAGAATTAATGAAAAGATATATTTCTTAAACGCGACATATGGCTTAAACTGACAAAAGTTAAATATGATTCTCAGTATTGTCATAATGAGATGTTACTGGCCATCAACTCATTTTTTCTATAAAAAAAGGAGATGATTTCCAAGATATGTAATCGACTTAACTAATTCATGATCAGTAAATGACATAGACATATTCTAAAACAGAATTTTTATGATCACTATAAATATACTTTTTAATTTGGCTACAAATTCATTTGTTTAGCATAGTTTCTTTGAATTTAATGAATTTCACATATACACAAGACCTAAGATATATATATGACCTTTCCAACTACATAGTTGTTTATATACACTATTTTTTATTCAAAACATCATTTAAATGAATGTACTCTTAATTGGTTGAACACTGTAACGAGTAGATGATGATAACACCTTCTTTTCCATCTTATATTACCTAGAAAGATCAACTCTAAAATAGTAGTAATGATATTTTTCTATTGTTTTAATCATTAATTAATCTTCTTTTCTTAAAAAAATGTCAATCCAAAGTTGGAGTAACAAATAGGAATCATAATTAATTTCAGTGTACACAAATCAACAGAATTGTATACTTGTTTTAGTACTAACTAAATAAGGCTGATGAAATTATGAATCGACAATATTAAAGATTAAACATTTTCCCATAAGAATAAAATGAATATTTGAGAAAATATTGAAATGTATTGAATGTTAATTTGTAATAATTAAGAAGATTCATTGTTAAATATACCGATTAGATAACTTGGACTTCGTAGATGACTTAGCCCTCCTATCGCATAGACACGGACAAATGCAGATGAGGACGACTAGTGTAGTAGCAGCCTCTGCATCAGTAGGCCTCAACATACACAAGGGGAAAAGCAAGATCCTCAAATACAACGCAGAGGACACAAACTCAACCACACTTTATGGCGAAACTCCGGAAGATGTAGAGTCCTTCACATACCTGGGAAGCATCATCAATGAACAAGGAGGATCAGATGCAGACGTAAAGGTGAGGATTGGCAAAGCAAGGGCCACATTCCTTCAATTGAAGAAAATATGGAACTCAAGACAACTGTCTGTCAACCAATATCAAATTGAGAATCTTCAGTACGAACGTCAAGGCAGTTTTACTGTACGGAGCTGAAACTTGGAGAACTACAACAACCACCATCAAGAAGGTACAAGTATTTATAAATAGTTGTCTACTCAAGATACTCAACATCCATTGGCCGGATACAATCAGCAACAACCTACTGTGGGAGAGAACAAACCATCTTCCATCTGAAGAGGAAATTAGGAAAAGATGTTGGAATTGGATAGGACATACGTTACGAGAATCATCAAACTGTATCACGAGTCAAGCCCTAACTTGGAATCTTGAAGGGAAGCGAAAAAGTGGAAGACCAAAGAACACATTTCGTTGGGAAATAGATGCAGATATGAAAAGGATGAATAACAAATGGAGAGAGCTAGAAAGGATTGCCCAGGACAGGGTTGGATGGAGAGTGCTGGTGGGTGGTTTATGCTCCTCCACGAGGAGTAACAGGTGTAAGTAAGTGGTTATTTGGCGAGAAATATTAAATTTATATTTCGAAATGAATAGTTAAGCTTATCGAAAACCAAAGAGAAATTTATACTTTAATGATAATAAACTCAGAAATGACATTGTTAAACAATGCAAACCAATAAAATAAATAATACATTTGTAATATCTCAATGAGTAAAAAAATTAGAATTTTCTGATGTTTCATGACTCAGTGTAAACCACTTCTTCAGAGAATAAATAACCAACTCAAAATTAATCTAAGTTAAATTATTTATTCTCTGAAGAAGTGGCTTACACTGAATCACGAAACATCAGAAATTTATAATTTTTCTACTCATCAAGATATTTACAAATATATTACTTTTATTTTATTGATAACAATCTACCCAATACTTAATTTATTTGAAATGATCAAATCAAACCTACCAATAGTAATTTTCGATAAAAGAAAAGATCAAAATACAAAGTATGTATATCAAAAGCAAATTGTTGCTAATAAAACAGCATTTTGTATTTGCTTAAATTTCCTAAAGTTTTTACTTATATAACTTATAAATACTACTGATGTGTGGGCATGCAGATAGTCTGGAAGCTGTTAAATGAGTTATATATTCCCCTATCCTTATTATTATTATTTCGATAGAACAATGAGAAGACGGAGTTGATCTGAAACATGTGATGTATTTGCGCTATACATTTCGAACAATCTGGTCACACATATACTTGTCAAGGCATTTTTATATGAAAATTAATAAAGGTCAAACAAATAAAAGTACAATTAAAATAACTAAATGGAGAGAAAGAATAAGAAATTGTCGCGTTATCCTAGGCTATTATTATTATTAATAGTTCATTGTTGTTGGATTGTGTCAGGTTTTTGGTGTGGAAATATATATTTAAGTTCTAGTCAGGCTAATCACATGTTCTTGATCATCTGAATTGTATTGAAATCTTGTAGAATAGACACTGAGAGGGGATCTAGTGTAGATATTCATCTAAGGTAAATTAATGTCCCATACATGTAGATGAAGTAAAAACCGAGCATTATAACAAATATTGCTTAGAGTGATTTCACGTTCAGTATTGTCATTATAGAAAATGGAACAAAAAAATCAATTGAACTAAACCTATAATATTGATTTACTTTAGTGATTACATTAATTTACATTGATAATTAAAAGACTTTGATCAGTATTTTAATATATAAAACTGGATATTCTAGTCTTTATCATAAATGAATATGATTTCATTATGAATGGTATTCAATAAATAAGAGTTTTAATTCATAAGTAGATGGATACAAAAGTTAGATTGATTAGAATGTTATCACTAAATGAACAATTAAAGAAATTTACACTTGAATCAATCAATGAATTGTATTTTTTTGTATGACAGAAATAATAAGTTTTAATGTTCAATTCATTTTTGTATTAGTTGTTTGAATCTTCTCATTGATTTAAAGCAATTAGTCCCTTTGAGAAATTTAGATAATGTAATAAGCAGACGAAGATTATCAGAACTATGTGATGATATATTAGCCCAATACATTTCGAACAATCTCATTACGCACTATATACTTGTTAAGAACATTTATATATAAAAATAAAAGGTCAACTAGACCGGAAATGGGGTAAGAGAAGACAATAATAATAATAATGTGAACACAATTTGAAACCCAATCACTCTGGACTTATAATCCAATATTACCAGGGTAGCTTTAAGGTGAGAACAAACTGTTTTTGAATACACAAAGGGGGTTTGAATTTTCGTATGACTAAGGCTTCAATAAACCTTAGTATACTCCCTTTTACACTTTTATACAACACCAGTCTAGTTGACCTTTTATTTTTATATACAAATGTTTTTAACATGTATATTATGTATGATCAGATTGTTCGAAATGTATTGCGCTAATATATCATCACATAGTTCTGATGATCTCCATGTTCTTATTACATTATCGAAACTTCCCATTGATGTTTAGGATTGCAATTGACCAGTCTGTTATTAGCATATGTGCATACTGTGTGTATTGACTCGATATTGCTTTAATTCACAAGTATCATAAGCAAAGATGGATAGTGGCTAGTAGTGAAATTCAGGATACGCGTTTCGTCCTATTTGGGACTTGTTAACTGGATGTTCGTGTTTTACTAATATTTTTTTTAATGTATAATATATCCCCTTAAAAGTTTATGTTTATCTATGCTTTACGAAATCACTTCATAATTTAATAATATTAGAGAAGAAAATTCTATTTTCGATGGAATCATTTACTTAAGCTGTACATTTTTATTTGTATGATAAATATAGGTCTATAGAAAAGATTGTACCATAAAGTGCATATCGATATGCATTTATAAATTTACTTGTTCCAGTGGAGCAGGTTATATTGGCCGCACAAAGCAATCACTTTCTAAACGCATTCCATAACATTAATCAACGTAACTTTTAAAAGAAGAATGCAAAACAATCACCAGTTAAATACAGGAGCACTTAATCGACTCTGAACACTTCGCTTCAAAGGAATTTACCTTCAAAATAATCTATGCAATCAATGAACCTGGGTCGAAGGAAGGTCAAATCAAAAACTTATTCATTGCTGAGGAGTTGGCGATCAACCAGTTCAAGTCCAAACTCTGCATGTAAAAACGATACTTCCAACCTCTAATTCTTCTTTGATCCGATTCCATTCTGTATGATGTATTAGTCTTGCTTATTTTAAATTATTGTTTTGTAATTTTAAACCGTAATCTGTTATTATTATCCTTTAACAATTTTTTCCATAATTATTATTCAGCTATTTTCATGACCTTTATGTTGTTTCCACTTTTCTTCATATTTATCAAGCGGACATTTTTATCTTTCATGATTCTAACCCGTAAATTATTTTCATCCTTCCATAATTCTCCAACCTCAATTGATATTTGAAGTCTCGGACCACTTTATAATGCAATCTTTTCTATCCTTCTGTAGACATATATTTACCATTGAACTATAAATACGAATGCACAATTTAAGTAAATGATTTCATCGAAAAAGAAATTTTCTTCGCTGAATTCTCTTTATTCAATGACATAATAATGGGTCATTTTAATTTACTTGTAATGATTCAGTGGATAGAAAATTAAATTTCTGACGTTTAGCGACTTCTTCAGAGAGCAAATACCGACTATTCACACCTACTTAGATATACCTGAATGTACACTCACATATTGTCTCACCTTTAACCTGGATAATATGACACCAGTATAATACGAATCATTTGGGCTGTATCGAATAGTTTATTTTGTTGCTCTATACTATTTAAACTTGAATTGATTTGACAACTCCTCTCTGAAGAAGTAACCTATAGTAGGTTGGGAAACACTAAAAATTTAATTTTCTGACCATTGAGATTTAACAAATGTATCATTTGTTTATTATGACTCTAGTTTGTGTCTGTATTATCAATAACAATTAAATCCAATACCTGTCATTTTAATTGTTAAAACTTCATTCAATTTATCTTGATTTATCCACTAGATATTAGTTATTCATAACAGAAAGAAACATGAACTAAGGGTTAACCTGATTACAAGCCTATTTGAAACTAATAACTTGGTATATGAGATTACAGTAATGAAATTACTTGAAAATATGGTAAGATAACCAAATGTCTAATATGAAAACAAAATCGTCATATTTATGAAATTTTCTAAAATTCACTTACATCTTTTTTATTGTATATTTCATTTTTATTCTTTAAATCAGAATTAAGACTGATCAATTTCGAACCCAATAAAAACCAGTAAAAATCAGTGATTAGATTCCAAACAATATACAATGTATATTTCATTCTGTTAAATAATAAAGAATAATTTAAACAAGGTTTTACAATGCTATGAAGATCGAGCAATTAAAGTAATGATTCAAATCTTTTTTTTAATTAATCATCGGAAATCAGGAAACATGGAACAATACAAATTCATATTTGCTTCTATGATCTACCGGTGAATTTAAAGACAATAGTTTGTAGACGGTATATCATCTGTATGATATGAATGTCCTTGGTTCAATGTTAAGCGATGTAAGAATTTAAAAATGATACATAGATCTAACTAAGTAAACAGATATGTGAAACATTTAAATATATAAGCAGGTTTTAGTCTGAATAATCTATCTTCGCAAGAATAGTCTAGAAATGATTAGACAATGTGTGTAACTAAGGAAAACCTAATTAAATTAGAAAAGAATCGTGTTCGATGAGTTGTACTGGATTTCTGCCTTACTCCTACACAAGAAAAAATCTGAAAAGCGATTATATATGTAGTTTTATTACTTGAACGGTGTGAAATGCAGTTTTAGTAACAAAGTATTTTTCAATGGGAATTAAAAATACAGTTGGCTTGAATCAACTTTTTGGGGTGGACACGCTGACATATAGGAGTAAATAATTAGTTTAGAGGGCGTAAGGTGTAACTGATATTTTCCATGTTAAACCTCTAGCTAGAAAACTAAATACAAAGGGAAAATTCGCAGTGGGTTTCGTTAGGTAGAGGGGGAAATTTGCAGAACATGGACGAGATTGGTACACTAATTAGGGTAATGTTGTTTGTGTTGAGGAGCCTCCTAGGTCTTGGGCTTTTTACCAATCACCTCTAACACCCTGACTTTCGAAACCATTATGTGATGTATTAATGCAATAAACATGTAAGGATTGGTGAAATACATTTATTTCCACACTGATTATTCAATCAAACTGATACTAACAGCTTATAACTATATTACAAAGTATAACATTCAGTGATTACGGAAGAATAGTCTTTGGTGAACAACTAGCCCATATATTTGGGAGATCAACTAAAATGAACTATGCAGAAGTTTTAATTCAAATAGTCAAGTTGATCAATAGTTTTATTTGAGAAAAAGAATGTAAACACACTGTTGTTCTTCCATATATCCTAACTTACTTAGAAATATAGCCATCGTACTGTAAATCTATTTCGGAGTTTTTTGTTGTGTTCTTATTTCCATAAAACAAGTTAGGAGAACTACTGTAGTTATCGTGCAAATCCAATGCTTCTATCAGGTTTGTATACTGAAGATGAAATCGCCTTCTATTTGAACTAATCACATCGGTTTTAGACTTCTGAAATAGAAATATACAAGACAAAACTTCCAGGTACTATCAACTTTGAAAGAAACATGTTATACATTTCCCTATTGTATTTCCCTCCTAATTAATCAGTTAAATGTCAACTTAGTGAGCCGCAACCCACTCACGTCTTCCAAAATATGAAATCCTAATTCATACCTAATCAGTATAAGATTCAGGGTTGAGAAGCATTAATAACATCTACACTAGACTGGGAATATATGTTTCCAGAAAAAAAATAAGGGGTTCAAGAACAAAGTATTCTATGTATTTAAATAATTGACGTATACTAACTTTGAATAACTTATGTTTAATTCAGAAAAATTCATCAGAAAATCCCAGCATACCAGAAAGATACAAGTTAGAAAGCATGCAAATTTAAGTAGAAAAAAATTAGAGCCATTATAACATGATCCGCGAGAGTAAACAAGTTCATAAATAAATATAAACAGTTATGATACATTGCACTTAATAGGTTTACTGTGGAAAATTATCATCAAGTGAACATGTACACTTGACATAGGAGAGATAGATCGTATTTTTTTAAATCTACCTCATCCACTTGAAACATCGTGTAGTAACAAGGCAAAGACTAAACAGGATTAGACCTAATTACCACGAAAAAGGCTCTCATTAATAATAATATCTATCCTGAAATGATGAAATCCTTGATCTATTCTGAAAGAACGGAACTAAAGCTACTGATTTGCTAATAAACCTTGAGAAGTTAACTATTAAAATCTTACTATCATTCTAGAACTTCACAGAGCGTTCTACGAAAATGAGGAATTATTCTTCATGTTAAAAGTTTCGCCTTCGGTTTTAGGAGTACTTACGTATGTGTTAACGGACAAATGTATTTTTGTGTTTTATAGGTTTAGAGGGAAGGAAGTTCATCCCAAACATGCTAGCACTGCTGATCAAGGCGATTAAAAGACTGGATTTTGTTAGCACATCCATCAAATAAGCCTGAGTCATTAGCGTATGTTAAGTCAGCGAGCGAAACTCCTAGTGATCAATCCTTTGAAAAGGCAATTAAGGAAAATGTTAATTTTAGGAAGACGTTGACAACGAGACTAAATAAAACTGGGGAAGGTGGGTCACTTTGATAGACAACACTTGAGGTTAACAGTTTGCCATAAGCTCTAACTAGATTGATAGTGTCTAAGTAGAGAGCCTTTACAAGGTTGTACTTCATTGGTACGACTTTTAATGACAAACATTGTTATAAAACCTATCAGTCAGCAGAGCTAAATGTCAACTCAGTGTCAGGAGATATAACTATAGTTGAGTGGTTTGAAGCTATCTCCTTTTCATATCGGCGATGTTTTATTTATACAGCTGTCTTGCAAATCTGATCTACCTCTTTCTTTTGCATGCCCTTTGGCATGATAATTTGAACAGCTAAGTCAGGAAAACATCGCCGGATCTGGTACAAGTGCATATCGATTTCTGTGTTTACACTTCATAATAGTAAATCGACGGGAAATCGATAAAAAGAAAAGCAAAGTAGTGAACAGACTGAGAATAACAGTAGCAGAAACTGAAAGTAAAAAGTAAATAAAATCGGGCAATCAAGCATTTACCGTCATATCGCATTTAGGACGTAAATAAACATAAACAAAATAAATTCACCTACACTAGTTTAGCGTATTTCCGAGGGATACAACCGTAAGTCTCCACCATCTCCCATCGGTTGTGACGTATGATGGATAGCCGTCTGGCAACCAGAGAGAAGCCAAACGGAGCAGAAGTCCGCTCTATGTTACTCTATGACTGTAAAACACGGTCTATGAAATTTGAGGACATACGTAGGCTGTAGACTTTTGATCATAAGTTCCATTAAAGAACAATTTGAGCATCATAGAACGACCGAATGAACGATGTCGATACAAAGTATTAAGCATAGGTCGTTTGATGAATTTACGAGTCTTTATCAGCTGAGATTTGAATATGCGTTACGTGTATCTACTACTACTACTACCTCTAGGGGAAAAGTTTGATGGTGTAGGAGTAAGTTGTAAGAAAGTTAAGAAGGAGCTAAAACAAAACGTGGTATTAGTCCATGGAATTTCTGGACTGGAGGTCCGAGTTACGCTAGTAAATAAAGGATATCTGGTTAGAGTCCTTACGATAACCACGATCAGTGGTTGGAACCTTTGGGTGGAATGGCTCAGAATTATTCACACTGGGAGAGGTGGATTCACTCTTTATCTCACTTTAGATCATGAGTTTCAGTGTTTCTTCATACATACCTTTTCATTTTATCTTGTCAAACCATATTCTTAATGTTTGGTATTTCTCACTATTACTACTTTTAAAATTTCTTAGACTTCTTTGATATTTATCTTGTGGTGATATAGCGACTTAGGAGAACAAGCACTTTTGCCAGGCTCTACATTGATTATAGCCAACAGACTGAAAGAAAGCAGTTGTTATTCGGATCCTAAGACAGTAAGTCCACACTTTTATAAACAGTAGATGGATATATAAATGGCAATCTTAGCGTATGCGGTGAGAGAAAACCATAAAATTTTCAACTCAACATCCATCTACGATCTTGCTTTAAACTAAACCAAGTATACTTATCTGTTTATTTTTTTAGAAATAAACACACTGCGATAGACGGTTCGCTTTTAATTTTATGTCGTATAACATTCTCAACCATATATAACGACTGTCGTCCCGGGTTTCAGCAGAGATGTTCGCATACCTCCCTCTACCCACATAGACTATCCACAACTACTTAGTGGACTTATGCCATGTCTTGGTTTAACCAAAAACAAATATCACATTTAGAACAACATGATCATATTTATATCCTATAAATGTCTGATATTAGATGAAACGACAACTAACTTGGCCAAGTAAACTATTAATGTACAGTGGATATCACATGTATTCAGTAGGTAGCCAATAGGAAATCTTTGTGTCGAAACTAAATAACAGTGATAATGAAAGTTGTGGTAATAATAATAAGCGGACAACAATATGATGCAATAGTTTCACTTACTTCATAAAAATAATCTAAATGTAGAGAATTGATTCTTTCTTGAATATTTTCGAAAGAATACATTTGTTCATGCTGCGCACTATCAAATGATATCACATCACTTATGTTTGTAGTAAAAATGAGTTTGTATGATGATTCAATAATATTCTGCAACATAGCGAGTGACTTTATGAAACTCTGCAGACATTTTTAAACGGAAAAGTGTAACGACAAGTGAAAACATATAAAAAATGGTCGTATATATTAATGGATCAGTATAATACAAAATAAATATATGTAAGGAAAAAAACTTAACCTACTCCTTTGAGTGAAATACTGATAAATATACTAGCTTGTCTGTTAACAATCTAGAGCTATACACCAAGTTTGTATCATAAGTAATACTAGTTGGTAAGATTTATCTTTATTTTGTTGATATTCAGAACTAAATGTATTCTGCACCAATCTTCGTTTTTGCTCTCTTTAAGATTATTCAATCTTTGTTGACACTATGGGCTGCTTGAACGAATCCTTCGATAATGTCTGTGTTTATTAATTGATTACACTTTGACTAGCCGCAATTTCTAGAATGTACTCTACTGTATCTGGAATTCGTCACATGAGAACGTTTCAGTATCCCAATGCTAATGTTCACGTTGAGACTCCAACCAAATGCTAGAGCGTTATTCATTAGACCATAGAGCAACTATTGCCGTCAACATTTTCAAAACATATTATATTTATCACCAGTTGTAAAGGTTTGTGTCATAAACAGTGGGTAGCAGTGGGATTCAGGACGCCTTCTGCGTTGTTTTAGATTTCCGTTTTGGATGAATAAGTGGTGATATTAAGACTGATACTCAAGTCTATAGACCCATGTATCGATAGTGACAGATCAAATTTAGCCCAGAATACCGACAATAGGCAGTAAGTTCCGGGTTACAATATCAGTGTGAAAAGCGAAACTGAGATGCGAGTACACTCAACTGACAAATCCCAAATAGGATGAAAGATATATATTGGATTCCACAGTTAGCGACTGCGTTCATAATTACTGAGGCACAGAATAACTGAGAATCGAACTCCATAATCAGCAACCGCGTAATGAAATTTCTGAATGATAATTCCTCATTCATATATTACTCGTCCTGATAACCATTATAAAATAACTTTCCAATGGTGTATACATTTCAGAAGATAATGTGAAGCAAAGACTACAGTTTATTACTGTACAGCTCAGACCCCAAAGCCATAGGGACACGAGGCGAATACGAACGGATATATGAATGTGGATGAATGAACAAGATTTAAAAAGCACATACATATGAGCAAGCGGATGAATTACTGAACAATTTAAGTAACTGGCTTTTTTGCTAGTAAGAGGAATATGTCCGTAAGCTGTAACCCGTGTTCAAGTATAGATGCAGATAAAAACATGATAGTTATAATACAAAGATACAGATAAACTATTAATAACCGAATGGCATTATCGGTTACACAAGTTAATTGAAGGACTTAATAAAATCAAAGTATAGAGATTAAAATGTAGGTGAGGTACTATAAACACAGGCTCCATCCGTTATATGGGTGGAGTTGCATACTCTGAACTTGGTGATCTAATCTCGAAGCTTCGATTGTCTTTGTGCACAGGAACATTAACTCAAACTCCAGATAGAAGTGAGTTATTTGGATTTATCGACACATAAATAACAACTTGTTCCTGTCAAGCTTGATTTGAATGGATTGTTATTACTGTCTAGAAGAGCAATGAAAGTTTCACAATGAAACCATTCAGGTCAGGGTACACAACTCTAACAAATCGTCTATACTATCCATATGTTCTGATAGTATATAAACGAATACTTTGTCTAAGGCCGCAGAATAACAGCAAGATTAAATTGTTAACAGTTCAACTGAGCATAACTAATAGTTTCATTATTTCACGGAAACATAAATGAAGTTGTCATTTGATATATAAACAAATGGGATAACTAATCATATGGACGTATATGCAAGCATTCCTGAGCGTGGATTAGTGCAAAATTTAGTTTTTATTAGCACGTTTCATTGGTAATTATACGGCAATTGACAAACTGTTAAATACGGAATGTCTAAGAAGTCTCACTCAAATAATAGCTAACTAAACGAAATATACTGTTTCTAATAAATCATCCAGATTCAAACCTAGCGTAACCATCACCGCGATTCGTATATTGTTTAGATAAATCCCCAGTGCGCATCAAAAACGTAGACGATAGATCAGAGATCTCACCTACTAAAAAGCTATCCATAGAACTGATAATAAATATGGTTTAAATTGTGACTTGGACATATATAAAAAAGTGAAATACGTGAAAAAATTATCCAACTGTTTGCCAGTTATAACAAACTAATTACTAAATAAAAGCCACTCCACATCACATACCCCAAAAGAGTTTCCAAAATCACTGGTGTCTTCAATCCAAAAACTAATTTCTTTATACGGACTACTGGTGTACAAAAAGTTTATTATCCATAGTTCAATCTGTCCCAGGATTCTTTGGCAGTAGTCCTGAAATAACTTCAACTGAAAGTTTTCAAACGTGAAAGAGGGCCATATATATAATTCTGGAGAAAGCATGTCAGTGGCACATTTGTTTATTTACTTTAACTCATTTATCAAGCTCATATTTATGCACCTGATGTCTAATACATAGTTTTACTGTTGTAACCTTGTGATACTTATAACATGAACATCTAAACTGGGATAAGTGGAAGAGGACTCAAACTTGCTGCCTGAAAGTTGAAAGTCGAGTGTTCATAATAAATGTCTTCGTAAATATTCGGTACTCAATATCTTGGATACGTATTCAATTAATTTTTTAAGATTAAATAATCGAAGTAAATATATAGCAAATGTGATCACTGGATTTTTAATTTGGAATGCTTAAGCCAAAACCTTTTGTCATTAAATTACATGACAATTTTATTCGGTTAATTAAAAAGCAATCATCGCAGCAACAAGAAGTTTCCTAAGAAGATAAAAATACACAGTAAGTAACAGATGATGGATAGCGTTTATTTATTTGGATGGATGCTTTCAGTGACGTTGGATGGTTTGGATTTGCCACAGAGTTGGCTAGAGTTTTGAGGTATTTTAGGTCCCAATCACTCACAAGACAGCTGAACCGTACGTTATTTTGTTAGACAATATAAGCAAATTCTCGTCACGTTTCGAGAATACATAATAGATATATGGATTTGAGAAAAGGCTGAGTTAGATGTCAAGCCGTAAAAGCCAACACGAAGAAACTCTCCATTGGCAGTAAGCCTTGAATTTAATATTACTCGGGTCTTTAACATTGCACTGAGTTGTTAATGTCGAAAATCAGTCGTTTCAATGAATTACGTCGGTATCTTTGAAAGTTATTATCCTATGATTAATAACCTAAAATGAATTCGTTCCCTTTTCTTCGATTCGCACTTAACAGTCTCTCTCATCTTACGAAAACCTAGGGCAGAGAATAATTTTGGCATTATCTTTTTGCAACACAAGAAGCTTACTACTAGCTGAAACGTAGAAATTTATATACCAGTTTGAGCATTTCGGTAGTATAGTCTATTCTTAACTAATGAGTATATTTGGTATATTTTTCGGTTCTACATTACTATTTAGTGGATTTCAAAGGTTGAAAACTGGTTTCCATTAACATTTATCAGTATTTTTTGAAAATAATTCGGAAATGGTTAACAAAGTAGCCCAAATTAGTGTCGTTGCAGTCACGAATACCAAACTCACCTCAGTACGAAATGTAAGTACATTTGCCAAACGGAAACCATTCTTGGAATATCTGATGAGAATGTCTAATTTTGAGTGTAAATTGTCAAGGTCGTCAAATGTAATTTTTTGGAGATTCATTCACTATCACTCAAAACGTATATCGGTTTTAAATTACGGCTGAAATAAAGGTTCACCAAATATCCATAGTTATTGAGACAAACAATATTTACGATAATGATAAATACATAAACCGTAACATGATCGTGAGAAAGCGACAGAAGTACAATTAGTCACTAAGTGAACAAAATGAAACTATCGAAATACTCAGTATAACAATATATCACTAGTATTTTACAATTATCAAGTCAGGTTAGCCATACATAGGTAACCGTACGCACAGATATAATATGATTAAAATTGTTCTTTTATGGAGTATTCTTATGTATAAGGATAATATTTATTCCAAAAACATAGATACCTGTTTGAAATGCTAAAGTAAGATATCTCTCAATCGGCCACACATGTTATGTGTCAAATATTAGGGCCATAAGTAGCTGGATAAAAACATACCATCTAACATGGTCTTGAGGAGTATCATTGAGCTACTGAATGGTTGATACAGGTTTTTCGAGGAATTGACTTGCATTTGCTACAAATGACTATAATTATTGAACTTAAGACTTAGTTAGTTACGTTTAACACTTCGTTTTCACATGAAAATGATGAAACACATGATTTAAAATGTAATCTAGTAGAGCTCTGGGGGTTATTATGTCTATTAGTGCAAACCACGCACATACTGTTTATTTGTGACTGTAACTAGATATGTTAATAAACAAAAGAAAATTGGCACTTGCTAATTAAAGTGCCTACTTGAACATGGGCAATAAACGCCGCGTTTTATGGCTAGTCTGCTTTGAAAAACACCTCATTGACTCACAGGAACGTTCGCAGTTGCTGATCCTATGGTTGGTTAGTTTGTGGTATATGACAGACAATGCCTCGCTGAATAGACTGTTCACATAATTCCTAATAACCCAAGTAACAAATTGAGATTATAACTTTCATGCTCGATATTTTGGGTTTACTAAAGAATATTAAGAAGATCCTGCATTAGAACCAGGTTAGGAAAGAAAATTTACCACAAATGACTGCAACTTCAGTGTGAGAAATTCAGTAATTTAGAAGAGTTCGAGGGGGCCATATCCCTTGCTTTAATAGATCAATTCAGAAAACTTTCCCAGACAGTGTTTCAATCGAAGTTCTATTTTGAATAGTAGCACCAATCAGAACTTCACGGTTGGCAGTAACTTAAAAAATCAACGAGCAGTACAGTAAAGACACTATTTTTTAGGGCTAATTACAATATCAGTATTACTGTAATCTTTTAACGAGTCCAGTTTCAATTCCAAAACACACGTTAACCAGAGGATTTATAAACTGGCATCCTGATCAAGAAAGCTTGTGCTCAGTCGGATGGTGTTCACTAACACTAACTCAGACTCTATATGGTTCTTGAGAGAAGTTGATCTTGAGTGTTTGTATGAACTAATGATTCCTTAGACCGCCTGATTTTGATTTCCGAATACAATACGTTCGTTCGTATTCGCTTAATTTTATTTTTCCTTAGTTACGTTATTTCGGGGATTCTAAGTTCGTATAATAATTCAAATACTTCTAATCATCACATGATCCTAGTAAATACACAGCGATTTTACGGTTAATTTCGAAATTGTCAAGGATTTGGAATGGAATGACTTCGATAAACATTAGGAAGGCCAATTCCTTTAGAATATATGACAGACAAAAGCACATCAAAATGAAACTTAGTGGTGTATGTATTTGGCTAAAGGCACAGGCCATGGGTAACAATACAAGACTCATTTAAATCATAACGTCATTATGGTAATCAACAGAATGTATAAAAGTTTGGTGAATGTAACCTAAGAGATCCGAGCATATTTGGTTCGTTAGGTCACGCTGATGACTTGAAAGTGACTAGTGTTCATCTGGGACATTTCACGAAGATTTATTCCGGTTAATATATGATAATAAATGTTGGTTGTTATAAAAAATGACAGCAATTGTAACAGAATGACTGAAATGATCACAGGTACATAAATAGAGGATTAAACCTATGCATTAATGAACAGTTTCAAGATTTACCACGTTATATCAACACAAAAACGTAACGTTAGCAGGAGGTAACAACAAGAACGAATAAAACTTTAGTACCAAAGATCAAACAAATTCAATGAAGGACAGTAGAAATGACTGTTTCTCATATTCAAGCCTTGTAGCATTTTGAATAGTTGACCCAAAAGAGACAATAAGCGGAAAATAAATGGAAGAACGATGACAATCTTAGCAAACATTTTGTTAACCCCTCACTTTCACGGATACAAACGAAATTTGGAAGAAAAGTGGATTATTTGAAGTGACTCTGTTAGGAAAATGGATATTTTGGTAACACTGAACGACAAAAGTCGACTATTTGCTTTTGAGGTGAGACTATAATTTATGGACGACCTTTGAGCGACGCCAAAGTGACCACGAGAGTGAACAACTACTAATTAGAACTAAATGAGGGTTATAAAGTAGTTTGAATTCTCATTTACAGTTGATGGTTGGGGTTAAAAATTAGATCCAGAGTTTTCATCAAGAAGTGACATCAGCTATAATTCCAAAACTCTATTAAGCCAAATGTATAGATGAATTCCGCGCCCGAATTCGTGACTTGTTATCTTGTATCTGATTCGTTCGTCCATAAATTATAGTCTCGCCGCTTTTGATTGAAGCTAAAAGCTAGGTGTTTATTTCGGTAACTCTGCTCAAAGAGAAAATTTTGGTATGAATCCCCCCTATTTTCCTCGATTGGCGCAAAAGACAGGTCGATGTATTTTTGCCGATATCCACAACAAATTCAAGGCATGTAGCCAATATTTACCCTAAACTCCTGCTGTTCGATGGGATGAATAATTCTAAAGTTCGAGTTTTACGAATGACCTTAATGTCCGTCGGGGTTTCTAAACGCATCAAACTATTTGAAAAACACCACTGTTTAGTAAAAATGTATATGGGCATTATCAAACTTACCTAACAAGCGATAACAACTGAAGCACTTGTATCGCGCGGAAGAACGGTGTTCAATGAACACTAATTACAAGTGCGACAGGTAAATATTGTTGTTTCTTCGGTCACATGTCTCGATATTTATAGAAATTTACGATGTTATATAATATTTGTTTATATCTATTTCTTGAGTAAATGATCTGTTCCACATTTGTAGATTAACCATAAAGTGACAGATTCAGTCTTCAGTAATAAGGATATTAGGTTGGTGAACCTGTGTTAATCCTGACAGATTGCCTTCCAGTGAAGGTCCAGTTTTTCCTTGAAAATATTCGCTGATGGGGCTGATACCACTTGTTCGGGTAAGGCGTTCCAATCATTGACTACTCGATGTGAAAAACGGGACCCCACTTTAAGTTTATTAGATTTTGGTTTATGAACCTTCTTGCTATGACCTCGGAGACCAATAGTGCATCAGCACACTCTTCCTAGCACTGATTTCTAAGCATCAACCTCGATTCCATCTAACTAAATCGTCTAATCAGCTTGAAGATCCTGATGATCAGCCTCTTTTTTATTGTTCTCCAGATTTTTAGGTCATCCGCAAACAATGATGTCGACGACCTAAGCAACAGCGGTAACTCATTAACGTAGAGAAGGAAGGCTCGCAATAAGTAAGAGAGTCAAGCATGAAGGGTTGTTACGAAATTCATGTTGCTCAGAAGCTAACAGATTTTGTAAATCTATGTGGCTTAGCAACCTAACCTGAATTATCTTTTCAAGTAACTTAACGACTATGCTAGTTAGACTTACAGTCCGGTAGTTAGATACTATCTGTCTCTGACCATCTTTAAATATAGGACTGACTATAGCGTCCTTCCAATCTCTAGGGAGTTGAGCGAGTGAAAGGGACATGTTGAAGAGTGTCGCGAGCGGTTTTGAAATAATGTCCGCAAGAGATGACAGCAACCGTGGATGTAACCCGTCAGGGCCCGGTATCTTACCAGGTTTGAGGTTAGTTGTCAACGGAAGGACAGTTTCCTCAGTCACCGGTACAGATCCAATGGTTGGTATCTCGGTGTGAGTGGGACAAGTATTTGTTACAATAAACGTAGAGTAGACTTCGCTAAAATAGTTTGAAAAAGTCTCAGCTTTTGCTCGATCTGATTCAGCTAGTAAATCTGAATTTTCGTGTAACAGTAACGGGAGAATACCATCACTACGTTTCATTCGCCGTTTAACATACGAAAACAGTCGTTTCGGACAAGTACAGCTATCATATGCTGATTGCTGTTCGTAAGTGGTACGGGATTTAGCTATGGTTTTCTTACAAATATTACGGAACTTTTGGTACTCACGCTTAAATGATGCATGACCTGTCAACAAGAATATGTCCCAAAACTGTTGGGTGAGGGCGGGGTCCAGCAGTGACGGATCATGTTGCAAATCAATATGTGTCGGTTTTGTGATACATTTTACAAGTGCACACTGAATAACAAATGATAAAAAAGGTCGCTATCGAAACCTCCACCTGGAGCTGTAAGCTCTATCCAGTTGATATGCGGTGCGTTGAAGTCCCCAATGATGAGACAACATTCTGCCATACTCCAAGAACAGATGTGTCTTAGGATAAAGTCGTCAGCAAGACAAGACGGACTACGGTATATTGCCCCTATAGTCACTAACCCATTTCTAGATTTAATCTTACAACATGCAACCTCACATGTGCCACTGATATGAGCCTCCGATATGGTTGATTGTATACGAAAGTGATCCCTAACGTATAATATTATACCTCCCCCTTTGCGACTTGAAACTCTATCACTTCTAATACAGATATAGCCTGCAATGAAAGGAGAACAGTCTATATTTACTGTGAACCAAGTTTCTGTAACAACGAATATATAGGGATACAATTCTTCCACCATCAGATTTAGCTCGGACGTTTTATTTCTAAGACTACGAGCGTTCGTGTAGCACACACATAAGGTGTTTTGGCAATCAATCGTTCTACCCATAAAGGCGTCGGAAGCACTGGCTTCCAAGACCTGACTACCCGAAAACCC